GAAAAATAGCTCAATATTACTAAGTACTTAATAAAAAAATATTTTATTATAATTTTGAATAGTTCTTGAAACAATTATGAATATAAAAGTAAGGATTAAAAAATTTTTTAATAATCTTGATCTGATAGCTTCTTAAAGCCAAGATCATCTTCTTTCTCCTAACTCAGCAACTTCTAAAACATTTTTGTCTTAAACAAGATGGATCCTGTATACTGCTAAGATCGGATTTTCAATATAAGTTTAGAAATGAATGAATTGTTGTGTCATATAAAAAGGAATATATTGAAACAAATGAACTAACTAATGATCTTGAATAAAGAAACAATCAAAAAATAAAAAGCATAAAGACCACTTTTTCAAAGATGTTTTTATACATGGAACTGTAAAAAATATTTATCATTCTCATTAGGAATTAGGCTTTCTTTAAAATTATTATATTTTTGTGGTGCAAGATTTAATCCAATAGTTTACAGTTAAAAAAATAATTTCTAAATTTTGATAGAAGCAAGGATGTGAAAGGAACAAAATTCTATTAAGATCAATAATGATACCCTTTTTATGTTTCATAGGATGATTTGATTGGAAATTTAAATATCTCTTCCAAAACTTTTTTTAGTTGATTTTTTAAATATCAGACATATATATATATATATATATATATTTTTTTTTTACATCGTCGACCATCAATTTAACATATAAAAAAATTTATACTATTATTCGTGTTCACCTCTACTGTAAATTTTATCTTTTCATGAAGAATTAAATCTTAAATTTCTTCAATATGTACCTATATTTGATGCAGCAATATCATACGTACAATATCAGACGTAGTAAAAAAGGAGATTAGTACGAATGGAAGCGAATATATTATTCTCTAGTCCTGCAAAATGTATTTAATATTAAAATAATAGATACATTTAAATTAAAGGTGTAATGAGAGATGTTAATAAAAATATTCCGGCCAAGCAGTTCTCTCTATCCAAGGAACGTAATGATACACTCGGGTATACACGCCAGGTATGATGCTGCCGCAGAGTCGTCCGAGACTAGTAACCCCAATTATGGTGTACGTGCAATTATGGTCCGTGTTAAAAACGGCAAGTGGTCCTCCGCTGTCACCCTTGAATAAACAATTGTATTCGATTACTTCGCTTCAAATTGTAAATGTTTCTGTTATAAAAATATACAATAAGCAATGTCTTGTTTTTCAGTTGAAACTATTGAATTTTTTGATTTCTCATTAGATAAATGAGTGCTGGAAAGAAGCAAACGTAAGTTGCGACATGATTGGATTAACTAATATTAATAGTTACAAAAATTATTCTAAGAAGCTCGCATTAAAATTAAATTTTTATTCGGAAAGCAATGAAAACTTTCTAGGTATTACAAATGTATATTACCTGGCAAGTATCTTTTCCGACTTCTCCCGCACATATCTGCCAATCATTGACAATCCCTAATGCGAGCTCCACGGAACTTCCGCCATCAAAGAAACTCGCGTTGCAATTCTCATGAGGGACCAAACGGAGTGTTACCTTCAATAGATTATCCGAACCTTCGTCATCAGCTGAAGAATAAGCCACGTACACTTATTAATTTTTTATGCATATGTACGTATAAAAATAAAATATTTTCTTGTTTATAATTAGATCACGTTATATCCTTATACAAATCTTATAGTAATTAATTTTAGTAATTCAGTTTTGAAAATTTGACGGCTAGATTCCTTTCTTTACGATAATAATAAGTAAATTTCAAGGCTAATGAGAGACGCTGACTCTCATTAATCTTGAAATTTACTCAATATAATTTTAAATATAGAGAGTCCGTTCTAATCATTATATTTCTTTCTTTACGATCTTACCCCAATCGACTAGACCCCATCCTGTGGCAACTGCCTTATTATTTTGACCCACATCAGGCCAATCAACTGGAAGACATGCCGGTCTGACATATGCATCGTAGACAGCATCTTTCGCCAGACGCAGTATAGCTATGTCATGATATTCCGACGGACGTTTATAGTCAGGATGTCTTATTCTTTCCTTTATTGCAATGGTCTGTGGCTTCGCATTGTCATTAGATTGTACGAGATTCAGATCACCGAGCCGCACCCATTTTGCGTTTCCCCTTTTTGAAGTAAATAAAATTTATTATAATAATTATTTATTAACACTTGCCGAAATGCGTTAATAAATAAATAAGTTAGTGCAATGAAAAAAATAAAATTTTTTTTATTTCCAACAATGATAGAATAAACTTGAGCTTTTCAAGAGACCTTTTACACTGAAAAAAGAATTTTCTACATAATATTTTCTTGAATAGTACTAAATAAACATTTTTTAAATAAATATTTATTCAAAAAGGAAAGAGTAACATTTAAATCAAATATCTAAAATCTAAAAATATTTAAATCAATATATGTTTAGTACATATTTACTGTAGATATAAGTGCTGTAATAATAGTGATTTCTCCACGTGATACAGGATGGATAACGTTCATTATTTAAAATTTTTGATAATTGAAAAAGATAAATATTTTTTTTTGTTTTCAGTATTTGCTTGTTAAATTAAATTTTATTAAATACTTGCAATTTAATTCATAACTTATTATTTTATTATTTAATTTTTCTTATTTAATTTATTGTAAGTAATTTATCAGAAATGATTCTTACATGTTCCAATGTGAGTATCACTGAAAATCTATAATGTGTATATATTATATGAACTATACATTTTCAGTACCTACAATTGGAGCGAAATATTTAAAATGTATGTCTGTCACCATTTTCATCAGTGTAAGTTACAAATTTCGCAATATTAATACAATCAGAAAAATTACATTTTGTTAACAAGCAAAAATTGACAAAGAAACATAGTCAATAGTCGGTAAAAATTTGGACATACTTGATTTTTTTGTTTATACCGCAAAAATAGGGCTTACTAATGTTGAAATTCACTTTCCAGTTTTCCTAAAGAATAAATCTGTAAAGTTTGACGTTATTATGTTATTACGAGACTTACATTTGGAAACATTCGCTTGTTAATATTACTCAAGAAAATATTAGATTCAGGAAATTTTATTTTTCAGTATAAAATTTTGAATGTGTATTCCTTATTGTAATTTTTTATCAATGTTAAATATTTTGATGATAAATATGAATGATAAATATATGGTATATATCTGAAATAGAGTATTTAAAAGCATATTAAAAATAAATAAATCTAATCTAAGTATCTCAATTTTATTTTAATATATTATTTTAATATATTATTTAATCTTATCCCGAAAGCTTCGTTTCTTTTATAATCTCAAAATTATTTATAAAAGTAATCTTAACATCTCACAAAAATATAGATTTCAAATCAATCAAATTTATAATTGAGAACAAAAATTACAGTTATAATGATAAGAAAGCCATTAATTTTTGTTTTAGAATACTATAAAAGTAATCTTGGTTTTATTCATTAATTTTCTAAGTATCAGATGAAAGATGAAGAAAGGCAAAATTTACCAGTCTGCTGTCCAAAGACAGTGCGCTGCTGTCAAAACAATTTTCTTGGAAATTAAGGTACCGCCGCAAAGCCATAAGATTGTATCAGAACCGTCGAAACCAACGGCCGCCATGTGCGGAAATTCTTTCGCTTCGGCTTTCTTACCACCGACGATTAGTTTGCGTGTTTTCAGGGCGCATAATGATGTGTTGATAGGTTTCCGGTACACTGTAGGTGTAGGTGGCAATACGAAACCGTAAACAGCCTCCGCGTTTTCCGCGCATTCTGAAGAAAAGAAAATATTAATTTAGGAAGACGTAATAAAATTCGAGAGTTGAATTCATTCTAACTAATCCTATCATATCCTAATTAATTATTTGATCATGTTTTTTATCTCTGTTT